TGCTGAGATGATATTTAACTGCAGAATCAAAACCTGGGTCGTCTTCCCTAAACTTCCTGGACATCGGGGAGTCACTTACAGTCATGGTGGTTTCTGTTGTTTTAAGCTAGGCGCATTTCCGAGTTTCACTCAGTCTCGATCTGTTGCTACATAGCGAACCGTCTCAGCGCACTCGGCAGCTCCCATACCAGCCTGCGCATCGGGCGCCATCGTGGCACCTGCACACCCACTGGCCCCAGTGCAGGCCAGGAGAGCAAGGTCGCCTTGCTCACGCTCACGCAAGGGCTGGAGACCGGCCTCCCTCTGCTCTCAGGGTGCCTCCCAGTGAGGCCTGCAGGACTCCCTGATGAGCGCGTGCCCTGAGGGCTTGAGTGGGGGCTCTGTTCTGCTGGATGAGCCTGCGATCGAGGTGCCTCTGTCCAGCACACCCCATTTTGCAAGCAGGTTGAAGTCAGGAGAGAGAGGTAGCCCTGCCCTCTCTGAAGGGAGCAGCCAGGGCTTTGTGGCCTCCCTAACCTGGTGCCTCCCGTGGCGACCCCATGTCCACTGTGCTCGGACCCTTGGGGCAGCAGGCCCAAGCCCCAGCAGACCCCTGCTGCCAGGGTCACAGCTCTGGAGGTGGAGCTGCTGCTGGATCCGCCACTTCTGCTCTGGGGTTTGATTTTTCTGGAGCCCCCAGCTGTGCCATCTGACTCACCCTCTTTCTGTAAGAAGTTGCCACATTTACAGCTGGACAGCTTCCAGCCTGCTCCTGCTCCTGGAAATGTGGGGACCCTGAGCCGTTTTCCATGGATCTGCCTGCTCCCCCCCACCCCCGCCCCAGTCCACACAGGGCTCCTCCAGGTGTCGGGATTCTCAACTGCTGGCCCCCCCCACCCCTCACCCCCCTCCATCAGCACACACCAAGACCTCTCAGGACAGTCTTCTGAGCAGGTGCAGGGCAGGCCCTGCGGTCTCAGAAGCTCTTCCTTGGAGCCGAGAGCTCGTGGGCTCCCCCAGCAGGGTCGTGCAAGACCACGACAGTCGCTCTCTGCCTCTCCCTGACCTCACTCTGCGGCCGTGTTTCGTTGGCAGCATCTGGGCAGCCTGAGGCTATTTCCTGCTTTGAGAAACTCCTGCCGAAGAGACACAATGAGGGGTAGTTTTGTCTCCAGCCTAGGAAGCTGGGTGGACATTCCTTCTTCATTCACTCTTCTCTCCCTGTGTTTTATCACGGACGGAGAAGAGCCCAGTCCTTAGCAGTTGGCGTTCTTAGCAATCCCCTCAGCTGGTCCCACGGCTTCCCGGCCCAGTTCCTCCACGTGCTCCTGCCGGTGCTGCCAGGCTTCTGCTCCCAGCACCGGCAACGTCCATTGCCTTTGGCAGCAGTTGCGACCATCCCCAGCCCTATGCTACTGTCAGTTCTCCAGCCGTACCACATGTCACTGGGGTTTACGTAGGCAGCCCCTCCCGGTGTCACTACCTCCTACTACACAGTGAGAGCAGGCCTGGTGAGGGCTGGGCCAATGACCGTTTGTCATGGCTCAGCGAGGTGGCCTGCTGCTGGCACAGCCTCCTGCAGCCAGAGCTCAGTGGAGGCCAGTGTGTCCGAGGTGGCCCCACCCTGCAGGGCCTCTGTCCATCTGGTAGTCCTTTACCCGTGGTCAGGCCCAGCTGCTTCACAGCAGGACCACAGCTTCCGAGAGCGGAGCAGATGAAGCCATGCCCAGCCAGCCCGGCCCCGTCTCCCAACAGCCACTGCCCACATCCCACTGGCCGAGAGGCTCACAGGAACAGGCGGAGGGCAGTGCCCCTCGGTGGGAAGGAGGTGGGTGGTCTGGTCTGCCGTGGTCAGCCGTCTCCCACAGGTCTGACTGCAGGTGCCCTGGTGCTCACGGAAGGTGGCTTCACGACGCTGGCCAGGTCAGGGCGTCGGCCGTTGGCATTGCACCAGGCGTTAGTTTTACACGTGAGGCTGTCTGTGTGCGCAGGTGTCGTCGCCTAGGGGCGAGCGGCCGCAGTGTGTGCGGAGTTTCCAGCACTCTGCAGTGCCTCGGCTGGGAGTGAAAGCAGGGCTTTCCAGGTTGTGCAGCACTGCTGTGGAGCCGGGCCGCGGCCAGGGTGAAGGCGGGTGGGGCGGGTGGGGCAGAAGGGCTGAGGAGGGTCACGGAGAGCCGCGAGCATTGTGGCCTCAGCAAGCAGCTTCCTGATTTAAGTGCAGCACTTTCATGCTTGTTTTTGTTTGTGTGTGTTTGTTTGTTTGGCTATAGGGCGTGTGTGCTCTCCAGAGGGACAGAGACAGAAAGTGAGAAATCACCCCCCGGGGGATGGCCACACTGCAATCCCTTCTCCTCCATTCTCCTCTCAGTATCCTGGGCACGCACGCACACGCACCTGGTGCGAGTTTAAGCCACTGGGTCCGGGACTCGAACCGTAGTTAGCTACATGGGAGTCCCGCGACATAGCCATTACACTAATTGCTGGTCCCGTTGTGCTTGTTTTTTTAATGACCATATTCAGGCCGATGACATCAGAGCCCTGCTGGTGGACGCCATGCCCCCGGAGGCCTTGCCCACCTGTTTCAAACCTCAGGCCACTGTGGTGAGCGCCGCTCTGATCTCGCCAGCGTCCACCCCCTCCTGCCTGTCCGCGGCCAGCAGCATCGACAACCTCGCGGGCCCCCTGGCAGAGCTGGCAGTGGGAGGGGCCTCCAACGCTGGGGACGGCGCCGCCGGGGCCGAGAGGAAGGACGGTGAGGGTGAGTATCCCGGGCACCCTCTTAGTGACGCGGCTTCCCTCGCTCAGCCACAGCCTCCCCTGACCTGCCAGACTGTACTCGTAGCAGTGGAGGGTCAGTGAGGTGAGAACTGGTCACTGGCCGGCACGTTGGGCTCTTTATCTCACTGGACGCCTGCCTAGGCTGCCCTCAGCCCTGCAGCACTGTAAGGCAGGGCATCGTAACCTTAGCGCCCCGCTAGGTGAGGCCCAGCCAGCGACAGCCGTCTGCACTCGCTGGCATAGGCACGCATCATGTGTGCTGGCTCTGCCCTGCTGCAGGGTCGGGGCGAGTCGAGGCACAGCTGCTTAGTTCTCTCCAGCGCACTGCTCTTCGCAGCCAAAGCAGAGGAGGGTTGAAGAGTCTGGTTCAGTTTATGGAGCCTGGTGGTGTTACGCCACGTAAAAGCACCTGCCCAACGCGGTGTCAGCGCCATGGCTTAAACAGGCGCAAAACTCCCTTAGGCTGCACAGAGCCCCTGGGGACTCAGGTGTCTCTGTTGCAGTTGCGGGTCTCGACATGAACATCAGCCAGTTCCTTAAAAGCCTCGGCCTCGAGCACCTGCGGGACATCTTTGAGACGGAGCAGGTGAGCTTGGTGTGCCTGGGTGTCATAGTGAGTGGTGGGGCCAGCAGGTGGCACGGACTCCCACATGGCTGACCGTGGTTCAAGTCCTGGACCTGGCAGCTCGTTGTCTCGCTTTCCCTTTCCCTTTCTCTCCCTCTCTCTCTCCTCTCAAATTTAAAAAATAATAATAGCAAATGGTATTAAATAACTAATTCTTAAAAAGAAAACAAACAAAAAAAAAACTATTAATTGCCACCACTGCTTCTTTTGCTTCTCAGAGAGTCACCAGGCATTTGGTCCTGACTGAGAAACTTCACAGTTTAAATGTAGCATTTTCGTGCTTGTAAAATGACCATGTTCAGGCCGATGACATCAGAGCCCTGCTGGTGGACGCCATGCCCCCAGAGGCCTTGCCCCTACTGCTTTAAAACCCGCAACATTTTAGGGACCAGCAAACGGAGTAATTGTTATGAAGCAGGACTCCCACATAGTTGTCCATGGTTTGAGGGCTAAAACTCATGCAGGGTGCATGTGCATGCGGGCCCAAAGTCTTGAGAGGAGAAGGAATTGCAGTGTGGCCATTCCCCCCAGGGGATGATTTCTCACTTTCTGTCTCTCTCTCCCTCTCTCTCTGGCAAGCACACATGCCTTATAGCAAAAATCTCTTTAAAAAAAAAAAAGTCTATAGAAGCCAAGGGAGCCCAGTGTTCTGGGCTTCTCCCCACACTAGCAAGACAGTGGTGTTCCTTTGTCAGATGTGCGGCTCGCACGGCTGTTGTGGCAGAGCCCCACCCCAGGCCGGGTGGTTCCCTGCGTGGTCCTGCCCGAGCTCCAGCAACGTCAGCCGGCCCCAAAGCCTGACAGTGCGGGAATGTGTGGAGGGCAGGGCCCAGGTGCGAGTCCCACACGGCCAGCCAGAAAACATCGAGATGAAGCCATCTCACAGAGGAGAAGCCATGATGGAGAGGGCTGACAGGAGGAAGCTTCCATGGACAGAGCTCTGCGTGTACGTGTCTCCGAGGGCTCTATGGGGAACATGGAGCACACCAGCCAGTACGGCAGAGCAGCCAATACGCAGGACAGAGACGTATCACGGTCCCTCAAGTTCCGCCAATCACATGTACAAGAAAACCTCAGGCCAGGAAACACTCAGAGGGTGTTTTAAAGATGCTCTTGGTGTGGGGCCAGCAGATGGTATAGTGCTTATGTCTCTGGACTCCCACATAACCTGTCTTTCAAGTCCTAGAACCAGTGGCTTGAAACTCATGCCAGGTGCATGTGCATGTGTGCCCGAGATCCTCGCAGGAAAGTGGAGGGGAAGGGATTGTGACATGACCATCCCCCCTAGAGGGTGTCTTCTCACTTTCTCTCTCTCTCTGTTTTTTTTTTTTCTCTCTCTCTCTCTCTTTGGAAAGTGCATGAGCCCTAAAGCAAAAAGCCTCTACCAAGAAAAAAAAATTCTTTCAGAACATGACTGGTTTTGACTTAAACCCAGTGAGAAATTCTTATATTAGCTAATTTAGCAAAATCTTCGTGAAGTAATTGCCTATTAAATTGGAAAGGGAAGCAGCACTTAGATAAGGGTACCTGCCCCATGTGAGGTTTCTGCTGCCCCGTGGTGCCAGACGTGGCCGTGACTTAAGTAAACAGGTCCCTAAGGTCCGGGAGACCCGCATGCAGGTCACTGCTGCGGGGCGTGTGTGACTGAGTACCATCCGACAGCTGTGTTGTCCATACGGAATCGTGAGCCTCCCTCCTTTGTCCGACTTTAAATCCTGTGGAAGTGTGTCCCTGAGTTGAGTTGATGGTTGCTTATACATGTAGCATCTTAGAATGAGCCGGTGCTCAGAGATCGCCAGGTTGCTCTCCAGGCATGAGTTCGCTTGTTCCCAGCCGGGCAGCCGCAGCCAGAGACAACTCGTTCCCGCCTGCAGCAGAGACTGCAGGCTGCTTGTAGCTGGAGCCGTGGGAGGCCTGCCCTGCGGTGGCCAGCGGTTGTAGGTGGCACTCACCCCATCACACGGAATACAGCCTCTAGTGTGCGTCTGTGTTCAGACCGTGGGCCAGAACCAAGTTCCTCTGCCAGGTGGCTGAGGGAACTTTGTCTCCTCGTGGCTTCTGGCAACTGGAAATTGAAATCATTGTCAGCAGGGCCTCACGCCTGCAGAGGCCCCGGGAGGGTCGCCCTTCTTCTTCGGACCTTGGTGGGTGCAGCCTCCATGGCTCGTGGCATCCGTCGCTGCATCCAGGCATCCCCGCATGCCTCAGGCCTCCTCCAGGGTGCGCTGTGTGCGGGTGCAGGGCCCCCTGGTGGCTCCTCCGCCCAGCCCCTGCACGCGCCTCCCTAGCTGCCGATGAGCAGTGCTGCCACCTAATTCCCGATTCCAGGCCTCCTGGTGCTGGGCCAGCGCAGAGCAACCGGTTCTAGGTTCAGGGTATTTAGGACGAAAACCCAGGGTTCTCTCATGTGGCTAACATGGAAAGGCTTCTGTTATTTTTTGGTTGGTTACATTATTTGTTATTTTGCCTGAGTGTGCAGGTGTTCACCAGAGCAAAGCAGAACGAGAGAGAAAGCACGCCCATGGGAGACAGCCACAGTCCCTTCTCCATTTCTCCCTCACTCTGGGATTTGGGGCATGCACACACATGTCTGGCGTGTTTCTCCAGCCACAAGTCGGTCAAGTGAGATCTAGCTGCCTCTACCACCACGCCACGGGCTGCTCATAGGCTCCTGTTATTTCGTGGATAATTCTGTCCAAAGCTGTGTGCTCCAGAAATGCCACTATTCAGAGGCTCTGCAGGAGGGGTCTCCCGTCTGCGGTGGACGGCCAGCTCTTCCGTGGGCACTCAGGGTCAAGGCAGCCCTGTGACCTCTGCAGAGAGCAGCATGTGCTCGTGCTCTGTGACACCCTGTCTCGTCCGTGGTCAGGTGTCCCGTGGAGTGTGCAGGTGCACAGTTCTTCGGGGTGGATCAGGACATCTCATCTGAGTGGGGAACAGTGATGACAAGAGGACAGCACGCCAAAGTCTAGCCAGGGCGTGGCCCCTGCGCTCCTCAGGGTTGCTGCCTCTGGGCTCTGGACGTGCAGGCTCAGCCCCAGGCAGCGGCCTCCACATGGGCCTGCGTGTCCGGAGCGTTGCCGCTGGGCAGAAGTGCAGCCGCAGGACCGGCAATGGCACCAACAGGCAAACCACCGAAGGGGAAACCGCCGTTTTGTAGGAGGAGTGCAGTGCTTGTCAGCAGCAGGGATTGTTGCATCTGAGAGGTTGTGAGGCCTTCTGACGTTTTTTCGTCCAAACTGGAAGAGCACACACCTCTGTAGGAGAGTCCGCCCCGCTGGAGCCCTGTGCTGTGCCCTCGTCGCATCCGCACCTCCACCCACGACTGCCGTCCCAGAACGCTCACCAGTCACCACAGTCTCTGCTAAGCACTCCCTCCCACTCCATCCCTCCTGCCTCCTCCTGGGTATGGGGTCTGCTGTTTCCCCATTTTTAAGTTGCTGGCCTCGTGCCCCTGGAATGAGTCACGGAGAAGAGACGGGGCAGAGACATCTTGGATCTCCACCTCGCGTGTCTCCCTTTCACCCTCTGCTTTCTAAAAGCAAATTAAGGAGTATTCCGAGCAGGCAAAGAAGCTGTCGAAATCAAAACAACTTTAAGAAGAGTGTAGGTTCATGCTTAGAAAGGAAACAAAAACACCTCCTTAATTTGAAGGCAACCACAGCACTGAACAGATGGGACAGCTGCTGTCCTCTGAGAAGCCCAGAGATTCTCAGGCCCCATCGTGGGGAGCACTGCGTGAACGCTTCACTCTGCAGGCGGGGATGCTGGGAGCCTGGGGGGCCCGAGGCAGAGGGGGTCACGGGTGCCGTGAGGAGACCCTGTCTAAAGGCCAGGCATGGGACATGGGGTGACTTGCAGTCTCAGCTGTAAGGCTGGGTGACAGCTGTGAGCCCTCGCCTCCAGGGAAAGAACAGCTGACGGCTGCATGTCCCCCTAGATCACACTGGACGTGCTGGCCGACATGGGCCATGAGGAGCTCAAGGAGATCGGGATCAACGCCTACGGGCACCGCCACAAGCTGATCAAAGCTGTGGAGCGGCTACGCGGCGGGC